TAATGACACAGGATGAATTTAGCAGTCCAATTGGTAGTTAGAACAGGGCAAGTGGGAAAAAAAATCTTGCTTGGAGAAAAACTGGAAGGGGAAGTCAGGTCGACCCCGTCAACTCCTGCAACCTGGAGCCTCCAGAGAAAACTACGCCCTGCGCCGCCCCTGTCCAGCCCCACTCCGCGACTCCATCCCCGAGGAAGTTCATTCATTCTCCGGGCTCTCCCCTCGGCGGGGCACCTGCTGATTAAAATTATTCGTTTTTATTATTTCTGAAGAAGGAGTTTAAAAAGGGGAGAAGGGTCGGGCCCTTTAATTGAAAAAAATCCCGGCTGGCCCAAGAAGATCAAATGTTGGACATAACCTTAACAGAATTTTACCTGTTGTCCTCAAGAAGATTGACTTTATAACATAAACTCGCGTTTACTTTTCCCTTGAAAACTCAAATTTATTCAACGAGAATTGAGATTTCCTCTTGGAGTCTGCGGCGAAATGAACACTTTAATTTGATCTTTTACTCTCTGTTTTGGTCCTACTCGTTTTGCCTTCTCGCCATCTTCAATGGTACATCATGGGACAAATATGTATAGAAAAAAATAGGATTGGAAATGATCAAATTACACAAACAAAAACAAATATCAAAAGAAAGCATCCGTCCTTCATATATTAGACACAATAATAATAACCAAAATTTTTAGCTTTTTTCTTGTTTCTCTGTGTGTAACAGCTCATCAGGGAAAAAATCAATCTCTTTCTATTGCTCTTTTGTCGAACAATACCATTTCCGGACGTTTGTTTGTTCAGTTGGTAACATTGTGCTGAGGGAGACAATGACTGTTTTCTAAATCGGCCGAAATCAAAATACGTGTCCTACACAGCGACAGGGTGAAATAGCAGTTTTATTGTCGATCGGTATGATCAGACCGATCAAAGATTATGGGAATATGCCGATCTGAGAGCAGGCCGAACCAGCGAGAACAGACGGACCGGGATTATCAGAGACAAAATGCCGACAGTTTTCCCACGATCAAAAACGATTGAATTTCTAGACTAATTTTAACAATTTTTAGGTTTTGTCTTTCGTTTATTTGAATGAAGAATTGTGTCACAGACAAACCAAAGAGAATTGGAGGACCAGATGTATCCGTCTTTACTTAAGTTATAAATATTATATTTTAAAAAAAAATAAAAATAAAAAATAGGAAGGAAAAAAAGTACATAAATATATCTGATGGCAACGGTGACACATTTCTCTTTAAAGAAAACCTCGTGAGGGTTAATAATGGACAGAAATTAGTCAATTTATTAATGAAAAACTTGTTTAATTCGTGTTATTTTGTCGTGTTTTGAGTTCAAAAAATGAGGTTTGAGTTTATTTGAAGAAATTGTCAATTGTTAACGGTTTGGTCTTACCTGGATGATGTTTTTCTACAGTGTATTGCTGTTCTTGAGTCTTATCTGGCTATATTTTTCTACTGTGAATTGTAGTTCTTAATTCTTATCAGGTTTATGCTATTCATACAGTGTATAACATACAATATAACGTATTTTTGAGTTTATATGAATTCTGTTTTTTTAATGGGTATTGCACTTGTTGAGACTTATCTGGTTTTTGTTATTCTAGTGTATTGCTACTCTTCAGTGTTATTTTGTTCATGTTTTTCTACTGTGTATTACGGTTCTTGGGTCTTAGCTTATTTATGTTATTGTCCTATGTATTGCAGTTTTTGAGTCTTAACTGACTGTATTTTTATATTGTAAATTCTGTTCTTGGGGTCTTATCTGGTTTATTTTATTCTACTGTGTATAGCTTCTTTAGTCTTGCCTGAACTATGTTTTTCTAATGAGTTTTGCAGTTCTTGAGTTATATATGGCTTATGTTTTTATACTCGTGTTGCAGTTCTTGACACTGATCCGATTTATGTTTTTCTACTATGAATTGAAGTTCTTGAGTCTTATCTGGCATACGTTATTCTACTATGTACTGCAGTTCTTGAGTGTTATTTGGTTTATGCTTTCTACTGTGTATTACGGTTTTGAGATTTATCTGATTTATGTTCTTCTCCTGTGTATTCCAGTTCCTGCGTGTTATCTGACATTCGTTATTCCACTATGAATTACAGTTCCTGAATCTTTTATAGTTTTTTCTTTTTTTTCTGTTTAATTTTTTTTCTACTATAATCTTTTTCTACTGTGTACTACAATCCTTAAGTCTTATGTTGTTTACGTTTTCCTATTGTGTATGGCAATTCTTGAGTCTTGCCTTATTTATATTTTTTCAGTGTGTTTTCCTGTATTTCGCTCCTGAGTTTTATCTGGTTTATTTTTTTCGTTTTTTTTTCTACTTTAATCTTTTTCTACAGAGTACTGCAATTCTTGAGTTTTATCATGTTCTTGATTTCCTACTGTGTATGGCAGTTCTTGAGCCTTGCCTGTTTTATGTTTTTCTACGATGTTTTCCAGTATTTCGTTACTGAATTTTATCTAGTTTATGGTTTTTCATTTTTTTCTACTTTAATCTTTTTCTACTGTTACTGCGATTCTTGAGTCTTATGTTGTTTATGATTTCCTAATGTGTATGGCAGTTCCTGAGCCTTGTCTGTTTTATGTTCTTCTACTATGTTTTCCAGTATTTAGTTACTGAGTTTTATCTAGATTATGTTTTTTAAAAATTTTTTCTCTTTTAATCTTTTTCTACTGTGTACTGCAATTCTCGAGTCTTATGTTATTTATGATTTCCTACTGTGTATGGCAGTTCCTGAGTATTATCTGGCATACGTTATTCCCCTAGGAATTTCAGTTCTTCAATCTTACCTGGTTTTCCTACTGTGTACTACAATTCTTGAGTCTTGCCCGGTTTATGTTTTTCTCTGTTTTGCAACTCTTGAGTCTTATCTGGTTTATACTTTTCTACAGTGTATTTCGGTCCTGAGTTATATCTTTTTTATGTTTTTCTAATGTGTTTTGCATTTCTTGAGTTTTATCTGGCATACGTTATTCTACTGTGTATTGTAGTTCTTGAGTGGTCTTGTAAATTTTGTTCAAGTAAAGTGATACATTTTTTTGAAAGTAGGTTTTACGGGCTATTGTGGTGTTAATCAAATAATTCCTACTCTCTCAAACTGTAATTTAAAAATATTTCTCTGAATCAACAGTTGTGCGGTCTAGAAACTCGGCATTGAACGAAAAGGGGGCTCGAAATAATGTGTAAAGGAGGTGTTAAAATATTGTTATTTTGCATAAAAGAAATTTTTCTCGCGTCTATTATTTTCTCTCCGGATTGTTATTGTGTTATTCATCGCGGCAACAATGCGAGTAGGCGACGTGGGACAAAGGCGGCGGGGAGGCGTTGCCCCCAGGGGCACAACCGACACCTCGGCACCCCCGTCTATGCAAATTTTTTCTCACACAGGTCCTCACGGGCTTTCAATCCTTTTCTTTGCTCCGTCGGCACTCGAAGGGAGCTTTGACGGGCCGGAACGGCTATTTCCGGCCTCTTATTTCCACGGGGCTTGATAAAACCGGAATCGTCCGAGGAGTCGACTTTAAAACCCCACAAACCATGAGGGACGACTGCTAATTATCTTCTTTCATCCATGTTGAAAGTCATATGTCTAATGAAACTACAATACAGTCTGATGAATTGAACAAGACCTTTTTTTAAATCAATTATACAAGCTACATTTCATTTCTGGATAATTACATAGGACAGAACTCAATAATTCTATATGCTTAGCATATTTTATACTAACTCACCATCTTTCTTCATATGTGGTTCTAATCCAAAACTTAGAAACAGGAGTAATCAAAGCTCAAAGAAATTCATGCAGAATTACTAGGCAACATAAAAAATCGCTGTTATTTTTTCGTCGTTTTCGATCATTCCCGTCTGTTTATGTTCGCTTTTTGCCCTTGTTACTCCTCTTTCTTTTTATTAGCTGACATAGATCTACCGCTAAAAGTAGACAGAAACCTGAACGCCTCGTACTGACTAAAAGATAGAAGACGACTATGGGTTCACTCAGCAATCGTCTAAAAATTAATAACAACAAAAGAATTGTAAAACTTGTAACTCAATATAAACAAACGATTGAAATAGTGAGAAAACACCTTTTTCGTTTTATTGCCAATGTTTCGACCATTATTTTGGTCAACTCCAAGGCCTGGGTAAATCACAAACGTAATGTTGATTGTAAAAAAAAATATTTTTCTGAAATTTATTGAACCAGGTCGCTAAACAACACACATTTCATTGTACAGCCGATCATACAGTACATATTAAACAAAACACCCAAAAAGGAACAACTACAAACCTTTCAAATTTTATTAACATTTCCCTCTGATTTTTCTGTACATGAATGATTATTGATTTGTTTAATTAATCGTTTGATACGGATGTAAACATTTGAATTTACAACAACGAAGATAAATGTAAACAATGCAGGGCGGAGAGGGCGAAATCTCTCAATGAAGGAGAACGACATTAAATGTGGGTCGTATTCTAATTTCTTTATAGGATCATAACACATGAAATATGTATACGGAAGTACTTGTTGCTTATCTTATGAGAGGTCCGCGTAACAGTGTCCGTTCGGGGGCGAGCGGGAGCGCAGGTCTTGGGGTTCGCGTACGCCTCCGTGGGGTGTCGTCCCGGGTGAGATTTTCTCGTTTGTATAATAGGAATAGGAAAAAGAAAGAGAAAAAGAATCAGGTTTCTTTTAATTGTAATAATGTAGGTGCAATGTATTGACAGAGAGGTGGAGGTGAATCGATAGGGTAGAGTGTGAGTGCCGTTGCCAGGCTATCCCCACTCGCGGGGGCGGAGCCTCTCCTGGGACCAATGGGAAAGGGCAAGGGCTGCCACGTCACGGAGTGGAGGAGAAGGCCAATCGAGAAATGAGAGGAGGTAGCTGGCGTTCGGAGGGAGCGAGAGGGGACGAGGTCGCGTAGAGGGGAGTAGAGGAGGGAGAGGGGAGGGTGGTGAGTGGGGGCAGAGGGAGAGGAGTGCCTGGCTCTAGGCGAGGAGAGTCAGTAGTGAGCAGTGCGACATGCATAACACATGAGTCTCCGCGACGGGTTTTACAATTCAGATCAGAGTGAAGTGAGGGGGAGAGTGTAATGGCGACTACGACGTACATGCCCGGTAGTACTGCTGTGTCGTCCGAGCTGGACGGAAGCGGAGTCGGAGTGATGAACATAGTGAACGCGAGCATCGGCGGCGGGGGATATCACACGAGCCCGTCGCCGAGGGGCAGCGAGGGCGAAATGAAATACATGCCGCCTTCCCAACACCACCATCACCATCACCACCACCAAATGCCGACGTCGCCGTCGCCCAACAGCCACCCGGTGTCCCTGTCGGCGACGAATCCGTGGGTGTCGCTGCAGCCCGGCTCGGGGGCCGATCCGTGGGCCGCCTCGATGGCCAGCATCCACAACCACCATTCGCACCACCACCATCCCCATCAGGCGCCTCCTGTGGACATCAAACCGCATGAGATGCACAGGCATCAGCAAGCGGGTCACGGGATGGCGTCGCCCCATTCGTGGCACGCGCCCGTCGTATCCTCGGCCCACTACAGCACGGGTCCAGGATCGCCGCTGCCCCATCACGCCTATCACGCGGCGATGAACGGTATGATCGCCCATCACCAACACCAACCTCCTCAGCTGCACCATACGCTGAGAGACATGCAGAATCACAGTCCTTCTTATCACCAGAGTCACCCGGACCAGCCGTCCGGCGGGGAAGAGGACGCGCCCACCTCCGACGATCTCGAGGCGTTCGCGAAACAGTTTAAACAGAGGCGGATCAAGCTCGGTTTCACGCAAGCGGACGTCGGCCTGGCGCTCGGAACACTGTACGGCAACGTCTTTTCCCAGACGACGATATGTAGGTTCGAAGCGTTACAACTCAGTTTCAAAAACATGTGCAAATTGAAGCCCCTCTTACAAAAATGGCTGGAAGAGGCGGATTCGACGACGGGCTCGCCGACCAGCATCGACAAAATAGCCGCACAAGGTAGGAAGAGGAAAAAGAGGACGAGCATCGAGGTGTCGGTCAAAGGCGCCCTGGAACAACACTTCCATAAACAGCCGAAACCGTCCGCCCAAGAGATCACCTCTTTGGCGGATACGTTGCAGCTGGAAAAGGAAGTTGTGAGGGTCTGGTTCTGTAACAGGCGGCAGAAAGAGAAAAGAATGACCCCGCCGAACACTCTCGGCCCGCAGGACGGCATGCTCGAGGGCCAGATGGGACCGGGTCCTCACCTACACCAATACCATCATCAGGATCTGCACGGATCGCCGATGGGACCGCATTCCCATTCGCACAGTCCGCCCATGCTCTCTCCTCAAACAATGCCGACCCACCAGTCGTTGACGGCTCACTAACGTTTAGCCCAGTGGGATATTGAATACTCCAGACACATCTCCAAGATGCAGCTGAGGGGCGACTACATGTGAGAGAGCCTTACACTGTCTAGTCTCCATCGCTCTCCTCGCAAGTCGCATGGACTGTGATTATTTAAAATAATTATTATTATATTGTGCGTGTATATCGTGTGTGACCGTCTGGAGGCATGGACAAGTTTCAGATCCTACTGATCGAGTTAAAGCCGAGCCGGCTTTCATGGACCCTTCTCATTTACGGGCTATTGAAAAAAAAAACAAAAAAACATTACTTGTACATAGTAAAACAACATAAAAAACGTGTTATCTCGTCAATGTGAACAAATGTGTAGTTTCTAACCGGGAACAGACTCTGTTTATATAATCGATGTGTATTTTCTATATTAAATAAGTGGAGGAGTTATGTGTTCTATATGAGCTAAATGGTTAACATGTCTTGTAAATAATTCTACAATATATTTAGAAGCCATGCCGTGTACAAATAGGAATATGGTGAGTAGAACATGTAGATATGAAGATTATTTTAATTAAAAGAGAAGAAAATTAAAATCGAATGAAAAGCTCTAGTATATCGAGAGAGAGTATAATACACGAACCCCCCCGAACATTAAAAAAGGGCGACCTGGCTTTCAAATGCCGATTGTTTACTTTTAAGAAGGTTAAGAATTCCGACGGTCGCTTTAAAAACAAAACAAAAAAACAAGACGGACTCAGTTATAAAAGGAGGAATCGGTGTGGAGCAGGTAGAAGAGATATTTCACCGGGAGGGTTGCCCCGGCACCCCCGAAGAGCCAAGAGGACAAAAACCATCGCATCTCCCCGGACGGCCGACAAGGTAGGACAAAACCATATTTTATTATGCTTTTGTTCCGCCTCAATAAAAATCTCTAATGTGTGCAAGCTTTAACCCGCCCCGGATCGCCTGAGTGTTAAAAGAGAGAAAAATAAAAAATCAATCTCAAAAGTGCAAGTGATCCAGTGATTACAGTCATGACAAAATGTGATTTTGTGTTCTTAAAGCCGTCTCATTTTTTTTTCTATAAATTTTCTTTAATTCCTTGGCTGTTTTACGGATGCCGATTTTTGAAAAAAAACCTGTACTTCTTAGTTACAAGCGCGATGAGAGTTCTGTACCGATTATTTTCTTTTTCCTGATAAATACAATTTTCAAAAATTGTCTGACCCCCTGCAAATGAACTTCTAACAGCGAGTTCGAAAAAAAAGAGAAGTAACCAATTTTTTATATATATTTCTTTTTTTATACATATAATTTTTTTAAAATTATTTTATTTGCGTTCTATTGAAAAATAAGGTGCTATTCTTATCGACGTTATTCTCTTAATCATCTTTGGGTCATTTTGTCGGTTAGAATTTTATTTGCAGTAGGTTCCGCATGCATTTTTTTAAATTTTCAAATTAAAAAAAATAAAATAAATAAAGAGATAAAGTGTCTATAACTTCACCAAGCTATTATTTTTAAAATAAAAAGATCAATCTGTTATACTTATAAATGTGTATATCAATTTTTTTTAAATATTATAAATTATTTTGTTGAATGTGATCTCGTTAGTTTTGTTTTTCTTTTTCAAAAATTTAATGAAAATATAAAAAAAAAATAATTCTGTCTGACAGGTTAAACATACATTAAAGAAAAAGACAAATGCCATTTTAAAAATCGCGATTTATTTATTTTTATATTTAAATTATCTATGGAATACATGTTTCAAACAGATTTGCATGCATTTGCTATTGTCTTCGTCATACGAAACTCTTTAAATGACTATAAAAACGCATCTTTTTACTTTTTATTTATAAATAAAACAAACAAAAAACGATCGTATCGTACATTAAGATTTTTTATTATTCCGAAGCATGAAATAGTGCATGCAGTTTAATTTATTTATAATATTTTATATATATATCCAATGGGCATTTGTCTTGATCCAAAATATTTGGGCATTAAATAAATAAGTCTATATTCGACAGAGAAATTGTGAATTTTTTCGTTTATTTATGTATACTTAATTTTTTTTTAATACACCAATCTTTTTTTTTTTTTTTTTGTTATCTGCATAAATGTTAATTTTGTGAGTTTTAGTTTATGGTACAATAGTGAACGATTTTAAGGCTGGTTAAAAAAATTATATTTGTTATGTTTCAAAATTTTTTAGTAAATTTTTTTTTTCGGCTGGTAGAAATCAGTCCGAATCACAAAATAATGAAACAATCAAAGAACTGAACTTAAATGGACTTAAGAAAATTGTGAAAAAGAAAAAATATATATATACGTATGTAAATATAGCTAATAGTCCCGCAAAAGACCCCTCTATTGTACAGATAGTTAGTTCAAGCAACTATTCTTAATTATTATTAATATTATTGTGTATTTACAAACATTTTTTTCCAAAGTTTTTTTCGGGGATAAACAGTGTAAAAAAAGTTCGTAGACTTGGAGGGGTTTATTATGATGAAAAGAAAGAGAAAATAAATTTTGTGTTTTGTCATAATAATTTAAAAATTTTGTTTTTATTTACAACAAACCCAGTTTACAGACCGAAAAGGACTGGAAGGCACATTTAAACGTGTCTCTCCGTCTGTTTCGGTCTGGAATGAGTGAGAGAGTGTGAGAGGGAAAGAAAACGAAGACAAGAGAATATTAAACAGGCGACATGGTTTTTACTAAAAGCGATGGCATTAATGGTATTGTAGTGTATATCTTTGACGCCGGAAACCAAAGTACAATTAGCTTAGGGAGTGACAGTCGATTAAACCGCCTTTTACCCTTGTCAAAACCCTGCACGTTTACAAACGTTTGTACAAAACAAAACATAGAGAAAAAAAAACCGTACCACCCTTTGTTACGACCCAGCGATCACGACTTGAAATGTACCCCTACGTCGGTTGTTGAAATTTCGAACAACGTAACGAATTTTCCGATAAACGCCCGTTAAACTTAAAATATAAGTGATAATAAATATAAACTAAGCTAAAACGTTAAGTTAGAAAAAAAATAACATGACAAACTGCATCGCGTTTCTTAAAATTTCTTTCTTTCAAATATCGCAATTTGACTTAATAATTCAATATTATTGACATTATCATCATTAAAAAAAACAATAAAATAAATTACCCTGTTTATGATTAATATTTTAATCAGTATTTTTAATATTATAAACATTCACATAATCCTGATCTGTAAAGACAAAGGATTAAGCCTTATAAAAAATTTTAATGCGCCTATTTTCGGTTCTTTCAAATTTTAAATAATACAATTAATATAAGCATACTTCAAATAGCATCATGGTTTTTTTTTTTAGAAATTTAGCGTCGGTAAAAATGTACCTTTCGTTAGATTTATTCTTTTCTTAGCCACTTGCATGCATTCGAAAAAAAATTATAACTTTTAGACATGCATGTCGATGTTATGAATGTTATGTAATTTAATCGTGTCTTTTTAAATTTGGAAATAGTTTATTTTATAAATTTGAACCAGCTACATTTTTATGTTCAATTTCTTTACTCAGTACTCATCACATAATCTCGGTATTTATCATCAATGTCTAGTTTTTTTTAATATGTACTTTCTAGTATAATACATGACAAATATCGCTTTTAAAAACAATTCTAGACTTGAAATCAATTATTTTATCAATTTTATATAAATTAAAATTAACTCTGTTAGTATTATTTTTTTTTTTTTTTGGGGGGGGGTTTGGATACCAAGTATAACTATGAAACTTTTTACGTTTAATCTCAGTTCTCAGTCACATTGCCCATTTAATTACTCGGTAGAATTTAATTATACCATTCTGAAGTATGTACGTAGAAAAATTTACCACCTATAAAAATGAAATGGCTAAGTCATAAAAATAATGAATCGCAAATTGTTACTGCTTTGAACTTATTTGTAGGGATTTTTAGAGATGATTTATGATAGGTTTTGAATGTAAATAATTTTTTTTATACATATTTATTGAATTTTTAATCAAGTATTAAATTAAACTCTTGTGATTTAATATCAATAATCCGTCCAAAATGTCCAACAAATTGAAAGGATTGATTTAAGGCCAATTTTATTAATTATGCGTGTGAAAAGGATGTAGGATTGACCAAGATAAAGAAATGTCCAGAAGAAATAGGGTTTTTTTAAAATATTTTTTTTATGGTTTTGATTAGACAATTCATGTTTAGTAGTATAATTGACCATATTAATTATTTCAGTTAATTATTCTTTTTGTGTATGGTCTTGGTTGTGATGAAAAGTTAGTGTCATGAGCGGGATTCGATTTTGATTGGTTTTCTTTCAAAAATCGCAAATTGTTCTCAAATATTATTTATAGTTGAAATACTACGCGTGTTATTTTTATGTAATTTAATTAGGGGGCATTAATGTTAATAATGTTTAATCTTTCATACAGGGCAATGAAATTTTATGTTTTTTTTCGGTGTCGATTCATCGGTAAAGTCCACATTTAATTATTCAATTCATATTTATATTTATTATTATAGTATCGTTACATAAAAATATAAGTTAATCTTAAAATCAATTAATGATTTGATGTGTTTGTCGTAAAAGAATGATTTTATGATGGTTCAGGTCCATCTTTTCTCATGCTTCGATTCGAAATCTCCCCAAATTTTGTAAAACCTGTTACCGTTACTGAACAATTTTTTTTAAAATATCCGTACAGTTAAATTATGTGATTTACTTTATCATATCTATTATATTTTACAATTGCCCCATCTCTACTTTAATTGACCAATTATTTTGCACATTTGGTTTGACTGTAATTGATAGAAATTTATAGAACAATAATTACAACAGGAATTATGAAAATTTGGTTGCGAAAATTTATTATTTGAACAATCGATCATGTATGTAGATTATACAATTTTATTTTTTTTTACGTTTAAACTTTAAAGTTGTACTTTATGATTTTTAAAATTTTAACATTAGTCAACTATTGGTGCATTTTTAATTTTGGAGAAATTAATTGAAAAACAATTAATTATAAAGGTACAATCGTGCATGCCAGATTTCACCGTTTAATTAGAAAAAAAAATCTATTAGGATTATTATCATTATTGTCAATCAAAGCAATTTAGTTTAGATTGAGAGTTGGCAATGGAAAAAATATGCTGTTATGCTATACTCTTGCAAAAGGGAAAAAGGTTCTATAAATTTTGGATTTCATCTGAAAATTATGTGTTTATTAAATATTTTCTCAAAATTTACCCTAGAGTTAAAGGCATAGTGCGTTGATTTTTTTTTAAATTGTGGGTTTTATGTTTAAATACATAAATGGTTTTATTACTGAAGTTTATTAAAGATTAGTTCTTCTTTGCTAAGTTAATGTTGCTCTTTTTTTATCTGTTTCTTTTTATGGATGATTAAGGTCTTCATTTTGACATTTTTTGAAGGTTGTTCAAGCTAAAATAATTTACCAACTTACGACGTTTTAGTATTTTGTGGGTTTTCAAGTAGTTTATTTCTCGAAAATATTTTAATTTTGCAATAAATTTTGTATTACATCTGAAAATTATGTTTTTATTAAATATTTTTTCAAAATATGCTCTAGAGTTCAAGGCATAGTGAGCTGATTTATTTAATAAATTGTAGTCTTTATGTTTAAATACATAAATGGCTTTATTACTGAAGTTTATTAAAGATTAATTCTTCTTTGATAATTTAATGTTGCCCTTCTTTTATTTGTTTCTTTTTATGGATGGTAAAGTCTTCATTTAGACATTTTTGAAGGTTTTTCAAGTAGTTTATTTCTAGAAAATATTTTAATTTTATCAATAAATTTTGGATTACATCTAAAAATTATGTTTTTATTAAATATTTTCTCAAAATATGCTCTAGAGTTTAAGGTTAGTTCTTCTATGATAAGTTAATGTTGCCCTTTTTTTATTTGTTTCTTTTTATGGATGGTTAAGATCTTCATTTATACATTTTTTGAAGGTTTTTTCAAGTTAAAATAATTTACAACTTACGACGTTTTAGTATTTTGTGCGGTTCTCAAGTAGTTTATTTCTAGAAAATATTTCAATTTTCTCAATAAATTTTGGATTATATCTGAAAATTTTGTTTTTATTAAATATTTTCTCAAAATTTGCGTTAGAGTTAAATGCATAGTGCGCTGATTTTTTTTTTTTTTTTAATTGTGGTTTTTATGTTTAAATACATAAATGGTCTTATTACTGAAGTTT